TTCTTCATATTATGCCTTTAGGTTTTAAAATTTTAGGGGTCGGTGCTGTGGCCTGTGGCCTTAGCATCCCATATGGGTGCTGGTTCGAGTCCCAAGCTATCCTACTTACAATCCAGCTCCCTGCTAGTGTGCCTGGGAAAGCAGCGAGGATGGCCAAAGTACTTGGAACCCTGTGCCCACTTGGGAGACTTGGAAGAAGCTTCTGGCTCCTGGCTCCAGATCAGTCCAGCTCTGGCCACTGTGGCCATTTGGAGAGTGATCCAGTGAGTAGATGATCGCTCCCTCTCCCTCTGTAACTTTGCCTTTCAAATAATCTTTTTTTTTAAAGTAAGTTTTATTTATGAAGTACCTGTTCATTAAAGATTGCTTATTTTATTTTTTAATTTATTTGACAGATAGAGTTAGACAATGAGAGAAAGAGACAGAGAGAAAGGTCTTCCTTCCGTCGGTTCACCCCCAAATGGCCACCACAGTTGGAGCTAAGCCAATCTGAAGCCAGGAGCCAGGTGCTTCTCCTGGTTTCCCATGCGGGTGCAGGGCCCAAGCACTTGGGGCCATCCTCCACTGCCTTCCTGAGCCACAGCAGAGAGCTGGACTGGAAGAGGAGCAACCAGGACTAGAACCTGGAGCCCATATGGGATGCCGGCGCTGCAGGCAGGGGATTAACCAAGTGAGCCATGGCGCTGGCTCCAAGGACTGCTTATTTTATTAAACCTCAACCTTTGAGCCTTTATAAAATTCTCGTTGATTAAATGTCATTTATACATAAAGTGCCTCTGCTGCTTATGGTTTTCTTGGGGCAGGCCTCTGGCTTAGCATTTAAGATGTTGTGTCTTAATTTTTTTTAAGATTTTATTTAGTTGAGTGTAGCATTACAGAGAGAGGGACAGAGAGTAAGGTCTTCCATCCACTGGTTCACTGCCCAAATGGCCACAACGGCTGGAGCTGAATCCATCCAAAGCCAGGAGCCAGGAGCTTCTTCCAGGTCTCCCACAGGGGTGCAGGGATCCAATCACTTGGGCCATCTTCTACTGCTTTCCCAGGCCATAGCAGCAGGACACCAGTGCCTATATGGGACGCCAGCACCACAGGCAGAGGCTTAGCCTACTACATCGCAGTGCCAGCCCCGGAGCTGTGTCTCATTGCAGTATCTGGTTTGGATCCCTGGGTGTGTCCCACAATGTAGTACCTGGGTTCAACACCTGGCTCCAGCTGCCTGCTAATGCAGACTCTGGAAGGCAGCAGTGACAGCTCAAGTAATGGGGTCCCTGCCACTCATGTGGGAGATCTGAACAGGGTTCCCAGCTCCCAGCTTCAGTCTTGACCCAGTCACTGTAGGCATTTGGGGAGTGAACCAAAACTGAGCTCACATACATACCTACTCTCTCTCTTCATGAAACAAACACAAAAAGTATAATGGTTGTTTCAACTGATTCTGAACACGTTGTTCCACATTACTTTTATCTGAAAGACTGCCTTCAATATTTGGCAATTTCCCTGAAATGAACACTGTATTTATTGTTGTTGATGAAAAAACTTCAAAAATTTCACTTTAAAGCTTGGTTTTTGAAAAAGTTTAACACTTCACTAATAGCCTGACAACTTCCCAAAAGACTTTCGCATTTTCTATTTTAAAAGGTTAATTTTTTGAAAGGCAGAGTTACAGAGAGGGAGATCTTCCATCTACTGGTTCACTTCTCAAATAGCTACAACAGCTGGGGCTGCACCTACCCAAAGCCAGGATCCCTGAACTCCAGCTGGGTCTCCCACGGGGGTGGTAGGGTCTCGAGTACTTGGGCCATCATCTGCTGTCTTCCCAAGTACATTTGCAGGAAGCTGGATTGGAAGTAGAACAGCTGGGACTGGGACCATTGTCCATATGGGATGGATGCTGGCACTACAGGTGGTAACTTAACTCAATGCACCACAATGCTGCCCCCGACCCCCAGACCTTTCTTATGAGATTTGTGCTACCATTAATGAATGTGATGCTTTAACTTTGTATAATGAAATATGTTGGGACTGGCACTGTGCTGCAGCAGGTTATGGCACCACCTGCATTACCATCATCCACCATCCCCTATGGGCACTAGTTTGAGTTCTGGCTGCTCCACTTTCATCCAGTTCCCTGCTAATACACCTGGGAAAGCAGTGGAAAATGGCCCAGGTGCTTGGGCCCCTGTACCCTCGTGGGAGATCCAGACAGAGCTCTAGGCTCCTGGCTTCAGCTTGGCCCAGCACCAGCTGTTGCAGTCATTTTGGGAGTGAACCAGCAAATAGAAGATCTCTCTCTCTCTCTGTATATATATATATAAATGTGTGTGTGTGTGTATATATATATATATATATATCCCTCTTTTTCTTTGTAACTCTGCCTTTCAAAAAATAAAATCTTACAAGAAATATGTCAATAATAAGAATATATGTATAATTCAGTTAACCAGTATTTTCTAAATGACCAATTCATGACAATACAAAATTGTCCATGGGTAAAAGATCTGTTGGAAGCACCAGGCAGACTAGTGGGTTTTACTTTTCTAACACTAGAAATAAAAGTCCCCTGACAGGACACACCCCACATCAAACTTATCTTTAAAAGACTAATTTTTAAAAAACTACCACTTGCCAAGCTTTGGTATAGAAGCAAAGAAGAGTACTCATAATTATTTTAGAAAGCTACTAAAATACGCCCCCTTCCTTCCCAACTGCTTATGTGGGAGCTGTATTTTCATCCTACTAGCCAAAACTAGTATCACAATGGGCTGCATGCAGAAGCAGATATGAGAATCCAGCTATCTTACACAACCAGACACTGAGATCTGCAAAGCAATGGAAAACAATGCTGTTCTCCTTATATGCATCTTTGTTTTGCATAAAAGACCATGTTAACATGTAATGAGCTTACTGTTACTTTTGAATGAATAATATATTTTGAGTTTTAACTTTTAATACAAAAAATATCAATACCATACACAAAAGTTCTATGGTATCCTCAATAACTTTTAAATGTAAAGGATTCTAAGGCCAAAATTTTGAGAAACACTTATCTAAGATATGCAAATTAAAGCAAAATTTCTATCAAATTTGCAAAGGCAAAGATACCGATACCCAGGGCTGGTAAAGACATGAAGAAACTGTCATTCTCACCTACTGCTAGCAGGAGGGTAAACTGACAAAATAACAATGAAGAAAAAGTTGGTAACACATATTAAAAATTAAAAAAAAAAACCTGTAGAGGCTTGTAACTGGCAATTCTGTTTCTAGGAATCTATTTGAAGGAAAAATTAAAGAGGTGAGAGTGACTACTCTGCTGCAGAACTATATATCTACACAGTTTCCAATGATATAAACTGGAAATGAATGAAACTGAAAACAATTCAGTTATGACAAATTACATATGCAAAAAATCAACTTGAAAACATATTATGAAAAATTTAAAACTGGTTGTAAAACTTTGTATAGGAGGAACCCAATTTTAGATAACTGAATGAATATACCCAGGTATGAACAAATACTTATTGATAATACTGGGGATGTTTTCAATTTATTAGTTTTGCTTATCTCTATTCTTAAAATTTTATTATTTTTATTACTCAACACCATAAACAATTTAGCAACAGGTAAAACCATTTATACAAGACTATATAAGAAAAGCCATCACTCCCACCTCCCGTAACACACATCCCGTGAAGCACATCCCATCTGAGTGTGTCCTCCCTGTGTTAGGCAGTGTTCACAGCTGGGGAGAGTACTACCTTTTACCCTTTTATGTATGCTCACACCAAAGAAGCAAACAACTATCCACATACTTATTTAATCAATGTAAAGATGTCCCTTGCTGGCTTATTTACTTTGTTCACTCACTCTTACCAAAATGGCCTAATACAATAGCTCTTAGTTTTTTCTACTTGTTAATAATCATGGGACAATGTGGTCAAGGGGTACAAATGTCACTCATTCTTTTTACTAACTATACTATTTCACAACCCACACATGTAGCATGATTTACCCAAGATTTTCTATCATTGAAGCTGCTTACAGATTTGGAATACTGCAAGTTATGCTGCCATAAACATACTTGCACGTGTATTCTTACATTTCAATATTTACCCATATGTCAGAGTCCCTAAAGTGAATTTGCTGACAATATTTAATGAATAGTTATTGCTATATTACTCACCAGATAACATGTTCTTACCAACACTGAATATAATTTTTGTCCATCTGGTAATTCCTGTTTGTTTTATTTTTTATTTCCCTACCTGCTTTATGGATTGAGGTTTCGTCATTTATTTCTTCTGTTCATAATTTTGGCCATATTTCCATACTTTCAAGTAATGTAATACTTTTTCCTGAAGTTAGAATTATAACTAGTAATACATTTAAGCATAAACTCCAAATAAGTTAATGGATTAAATGATCAGAAACAAAACAATCAACCAATTAATAGCAAATACAAATACAGAAAATCTGAATAAACTTAAGATTCAGAAGCAACTAAGGAAAAATACATTTGACTACACCAAAAGTTTTATCTGTATTTTTCTCATTTTAAATCATGAACAGGTATTGTCTTGGGAATTTTTTTAAAAAATGAAGTGTTAAAAAAAAACCCACAACTGTCAGCAGATATGAATAATGCTGTCACTATTCTGAAGTCCTATGATAAGACTTAGGGAGAACTCCATGAGACACACAAGCACTAAGCTACAGAGGCATGCAAACTGGCTCTAAATGTTGCTTTTACTGCTAATAAAGCTATGACTGCAATTCTAAATTTCCAACTCTTATGTCTGTATCCTATTCACCAGGCACTGTCCTCTCTACTAACATATTTATTTAATAGTGCTCTTCCTAAATATAGTACCTGTTACTGTGCTGCCCAGTGCAAGTTTCTTCTACCCTAGCACATAGGTGGCAGTCAAGCAGGGAAGGCCACAGGTGACTGGACACATTTCCTTATATTATACACATATGATGCAGTAAAACAGGTAACTCACCTAAATGGGGAAAGAGATCAGTGTCCAACTGATGTTTTTGGGTGCACAGTTTCACCAGTCTCTGCAGTCGACTTATACAAGAGAAGTGTGGAGAGAAGGCTGTGGCTTTCATCAGGACCCGGTCAGTCCTGGGTGGGTCCGTGAGGGGAGCCCTACTGGATGGCGGGAGGGGCAGAGGCCTCTTGTGAGACAACTGCCTTGCTTGTGCTATAGTGTGTGTGGTGGGTGCCACTCCCTGCACTGGTAGGCTGGTGTTCTGAGGTTGAGGTGACTTGCAGACTGAACCCTGCGGTGGCGCTGGAGGTTTCAAAGAAGTGGATAAAGGTGACAGGTGGGAGTGCTGCTGCGGAGGCTGCTGCTGTGAAGGTGCAGGTGGGGGACTAAAGTGCTCTTGCCGAACTTTCAAAATCTCGGTCTCTCTCTGGCGCTGCCGATTCTGGGCCAACTTGCTCTGCAACTTCTTTCTGACAGTTGCCCCTTTCTTTAGGTCATCGTCTTCTTCGTTGAAAGCAAATGGGTCTTCCAACTCTGTTTCCAGGTAGTGGAGAGGGACCCTTGCCCCAGGTGGAGAGAGGGACATTCCATCCAGTCCATTGGGCATCTTCAAGGCCAGCGTGGGCACAGTCAGGCTGAAGGCCATCGTATCCATCTGGTGTCTGACCTTCACCTCATCTATAGGATCATTCTTTTTCTTCCTCTCTTTTTTCGGGATAAAGCCAAGTACCTGCAAGTGGCTGTTGCAGTACCTTCAAAAATATACATACACAGAGAAATGTTCATTATACATATTGAGAAAAGTAGAATATAAAACTACATTATTAAATGTGAATCCAAAGGTTAAAAATTACATGACAATATAACATTGAGATTTGCCAACTGAATACACAACTTCCCCCACTCTTGAACAATCTGTAATGTCAGTGTAATTTTGCTGTATGGGAACTGCACGTGTGCACAGATGGCCAACAGAAGCCAAGTCATGGGCTAGTAGGTAGCCCAGGACAAACGCTCAGCTAATGCTTCTCACAGAGCTTTGTCAGTCTCTGTTGATAGGATACAGAGTGACGCATCGAGAACATGAAGGATCACTTAAAATTCTCTTTTGAGGGGAAAATAATATATGTTCCAATGCCATTCAAGTATTTGGAGATTCACAAAGATTTTTATGACATAATCCTCAAAATCCTCATAATTCTCAAAGGGAGAAACAGACAGGCAGAGAAAAATTTTGTTGATTTGTTTAAAAATAAAGGTATCAGAGACACTTATTTGTTTTAAATAGGTCTATTAAGAAAAAGCTTTTGGGCTAGTTAAGAGACTCTACACTATATGCACGCCATGGCCAGCAGGTGTGAGATGTAGTTCACATATCCCTTAAACAGTGTAGACTCATAAAGTCGAGCCATGAATGGACAGGAAAGGGGTATCAGGAATGACTGCACTCACCATCAAGTTTCCCAGGAACAGGAAAAAATGAATGAAGAGTAAATAGTTTTCCATGGGGTAGCCCCATGGTACACGAGGCTACCATGTACTACATAATGAATACCACTAAAGCCAACCTGTATATGCAGTCCTCCCTAAATTTCCTTACTCTAGTCACTGCATCACACATCACAACAGTCCAAAAGCCTCCATCTTCTCAAAGGGAAAATACTTCAGAACTAGAGCTGGGAAAGCTTACTTAGTTATCAACAGCAAGAACCAGCATTGTGGCGTCGTGTGTTAAGTCACTACCTGCAATACCAACATATCATATGGATGCCAGTTCATGCCCTATCTGCTCCACTTCCAATTGAGCTCCTTGCTCATGGCCTGGGAAAGCAGTGGAAAATGGCCCAAGTCCTTGGGCCCCTGCACCCACGTGGAGACCTAGAAGCAGCTCCTGGCTCCTGGTTTCAGCCTGGGCCAGTCCTGGCTGTTGCAGCCATCTGGGGAGTGAACCAGCAGATGGAAGATATCTCATTCTGTTTCTCCTTCTTTTTCTGTAACTGTGTCTTTCAACTAAATAAATACATAAAATCTTTAAAAACAAACAAACAAACATGAAGTTCAGAGCAATCATACAGGAGGGAAACTGCTGTGATCACACAGTTTCTTTGGGGCGGATGAAACGTCCTAACATTAGATGGCTGCACCACCTTGTGGAACAGTAACACTGAATGGTATACTTTAAATGGATGAGTTGTATGGTATGGGAATCACATCCTAGTTCATCTGTTTAGAAAATGAATAAATGTGCAAGGATTAAGAAAATTTCTTGGCAGATATTCATTTCTTGGCAGATATTTATATATAAAACAAACTTAAATTTAAAATATTATATAAAATAACCAACAAACTTTATTACTTATCTCTGTGCAGCAAGGCTACAGTAACAAGCCTTAGCTTCCTACCATGCAAGTGTATAAAAAACGGACTTCACCAGCCCTAGCTTCCACTGAGTCAAATACTACTCTATCTCAAAAATGCGGGAGCTGGTGCTGTGGCACAGTGGGTTAACACCCTGGCCTTAAGCGCTGGTATCCCATACAGGTGCCGGTTTGAAACCTGGCTGCTCTACTTCTGATCCAGCTTTCTGCTGTGGCCTGGGAAAGCAGTGGAAGATGGCCCAAGTCTTTGGGGCCCTGCACCTGCATGGGAGGCCTGGAAGAAGCTCCTGGCTCCTGGCTTCAGATCAGTGCAGCTGCGGCCTTTACAGCCAATTGGGGAGTGAACCAACAGATGGAAGACCCTTCTCTCTCTCTCTCTCGCCGCCTCTCCTCTCTGTGTAACTCTTTCAAATAAATAAATAATAAATCTTTTAAAAAATGCAGAAATCTATCAATTAGCATCCATAATATACACCAGGAAAGTTATAAAACAGAAACTATAGCTTTGTGAATTAAAATCTGGGAATCTGCTTTCTAAACAATACATAAAGCTACCTCCCATCCAGAGGCTCAGAAGTTACTGCATTAACAATAACGAAAGCTTATTTTCAAAGGGACACTATTCTTCTCTACAATATGTCATATAGGACACTTAAAACTATTAACATTTAAGCACAGGTTTAGACCTATCAGCATATGAATTCAACCTGGATTTCTTGAGGAACATAAGAATATTACATCCTTCTGATAGCCATTTTAACCTCTTTTCAAATAACTTTACAAATAACAAAAATAATGATGACATTTTCATCCACAGGATCAAGCATCAATCGTGGAACTTGGTATAACTTGGTATTTAGGAAGCATAACGTCACTTGACATGGAGACACAGAAGTCCTTTCCCTACAAAGAGGAAACTACTTTGAAGACAAATGCCACAAAGAATTCACATTTCCGAGAAATACAGAACACTCACTTCAATCCTGCCACTATTAAGATAACCCTTGCTCTCGATCAAATGAAAAAAAGCCCAAGGTTCACAACTGCAACTGTAAACACCACATTTAAGACAAAATCATGGAGGTGTGTTTATAACAGAGGCTGAAGTAGAAAATTCATCCAAGTTCATCCATTCTTCAGGTTAAAAATGGGGAGGGGCAAGAAATTATCCCTTTTGGTCTGCTCAAACCAACTGACCAGGTATGTTTACCCTAGTCCTTTCTCATCTGAGATTAAAATTTTATTCCTTGCCTCGCTAAGCAGCTGTTTCTAACTTTCAAGCCCTGTAAACTGAAGCCTTCAGTGCTCATTAGAAATTCTAAGAGAGTATTCCCAAATCACCACATTATACTCCTTTTGGTGGGATCTCTATCATCACAAATTATTTATTTCACACCAAAAGTGTTAAAAGTGCTCATCCTAACATACAAATTCCTTGTCAACCAAATTATGCAAGTGACACTTGCTTATTTATAGGAACATGATGAAGGCTGTGTGCATTCGAAGAGAGATATAAAAGGTTTACATTTTCTATTTCAAGATAACAAGTATCTGAAGCTTCTGGAAAACACGCATTCATCTCTGTAACCTCCTGCAATGATCGGTAGGTAGGGTTTCTAGAGAACTGAAAAAGAGACATGAAGATGGGATCATAAGGGAAGACTCTGAATTTCCTCAGGAATATGAAGACATTTTATTTCTTTACATTCAGCAAATGTAAATTAAACATCCTAATGATAAAGACTACATTTACAGTGAGAATACTGTTTCTAAATTATGGTAAACATACACTTTTTGGAAGTCTTTTAATCAAGAAAGGCAAGATTATGAAACCATGCCACACACTGCTTAGAAATCTGGTATGAAGTAAATCTGAATGATTCGAGTAATATATTTAATTCTGTATTTTTCAGGCACAGATTCAAAAAATTCAAAATTATTATCATTAGTTACAACACCTAAGTAGGTCCTATAATATTTCTCATTTGGGCTGATGATAAAACTAAGAAAATAAGTCAGACATGACTTTATAAGGCTACAAAGCAAATAAATCAGTACCAGTACTCCAAGGAGCAATTTTGAGAAAAATGTTCTTTTTTTTTTTAAACAATTCTAGAAGTTTACGAGACCAATAAAAAGAAAGCACTCAATTTTTTTAAAGTAATTCCCCAAATTTACTACTCCTTTTGTAAAAATTGCCATCTTTTCATCTTTAGAAGTCTTTCAAAGTTTACTGAGCCGACCCCCAGAACTCACCGATTAAATTCACCCCAAAGACATTAGAAGACAAGAAAAGGAAACATTATAAGCCTACCAGATTAAATCCAGGATCGAGTCTTATTATTAGGTCTTACCTACGATCCTCTGCTTTGGGGATGGGGTTGGTGCAGCGCTGGCTGTTATACTTTGCCACATATTCACATTGCTTGAAGGGGGCGGTCTTGTCCTCCAGAACGTGTCTGATACAGAAAGCGTAGCCGTTGAGTCGCCGCTGCTTGCACAGTTTGGGGCTATATGAGCACAAGGGCTTATTGTCAACCTCAGAGAAGTGTATATGTTTCCCTTCATACATCACGTGACTCTATTCCTTGTGAACATCAGCTAAAAGGCCATCAAAAAAAAAAAAAAAAAAAGAAAGAAACCCAAATGATAAATCAGAGGGTATAAGGCAGATTGAAGTTGAAATTTCCACTGAGGGACTTTTGGCCCCGCAGCCATACCTGATTTTAAATCTTCTGCACCATAGCAATCTTAAGAGAACCCCAAGGATACCACAGTTTGGAATGCTGCAGAATCAAGATGAAGCAGATTGTCTACGAAAATATCAAAAGGCCTAGTTAACAAACAGAAACATGCAAAGCTAGTTCCCAGGAAATAGGATACTATGACGTCACCCTTCCTAATGTGATGGATGCTTTACCATAATCCAACGACCCAATAATGAGGTCACACAAGAAAATATGAGGCATCAGAAAACATTAGGTCACCTTCCCCCAAATTTAACCACATAACATTGACTCTGGCAAAGCTATTTCTCAAAGCTGCAGAGCTCCTTCACCAGATGACTGTCACAGGTGGCAGCTCTTTCCATTTCATTACTGATATTTCATGCTATATATATTTTCAGAACCCAAGTCCCTTTCCAATGCCAATGGAATAAGCTGTAGACCTAAAACATCCCCCAGAAATTCCACATTTTTGGTAGTTTGACAAAATATTTAGCAATTCATAATAAATGTTTCTATGAAATACAAAATAGAACAAATTCTTGCTTTAAAAATGTTTACTTCCCTTCTAATATTTACCCACACCTATCTCACCCAGCTCTAAACTTCTTGAGCCCAAAGATTAGTTCTCTGAGCACACTGCGTTGAACACTCTGTGCCACATGGTGTTCCCCATCACACGAATCTGGGTAGTAATAATGGCTTATGCATCTTTTGAGAGTCAGTAAGAAAAAGGAACGAAGAAATTACACAAGACTCACTACCTGTCTATTATACCATATAGTCTACAACTAAACTGTGTCTATTTTGTAAGTCTTAGTGAGGGGAGGGGAGTGGAACCCACTCTCTTCCATACTTAAAGTCAGCTACCAAAAAAAAAAAAAAATCAACAGGTACTCTCTTTAACGGACTGAGAATTCATTACACCAGTAACTAACAAGATACATAAATTCTAGAGGAGTCAGATCACATGGCCATTCAAGTGTAAAATCTGCCATTTGTGTTACCTTGATAACCTCTCTGAACTGTTTTCTCATCTGTAAAACAGGGATAATACGAGCTATGTTATCATCAAGATGCTGTAAGGATCAAATGATCCAAAACATGCAATATACCAAGCATCATGCTTAAGTACATGGCAGGTACTACACACATGGAAGTTACGAGTCATAAATGTTATTTCTTGTATTACTGCATTTACCTGCCAATGATAAAGGTAGAGATTTTGTAATGCCCTTGACAAACATTTTACTTTCTCTAATAAAACAAAACAAAAACTATGAAATATTAACTTACTTAGTAAAATCACTCATTGTTAAATAAACCTGATCACACATCAATATAAAACCAAAATAAGAGCTTTCCCTGTTCACCTTACAAGGATGTAACAAAGAAAAGCTGGACTTTGGAAGGCAGCAAAAGATAGCCAAAGTCCTTGAGTTCCTGGAAGAGGAAGATGGAGTTCTAGGCTCCTGGCTTCAGCCTGGCCCAGCCATTTGGAGAGTGAACCAGCAGATAGAAGGTTGACTTTTCTCTCTTTGCTTTTTTTTTTTTTTTTTTTTAAAGATTTCTTTATTTTAGTTGCTAGGCAGAGTGAGAGGAGAGGAAGAGATCTTCCATCTACTAAGTTACTCTCCAAGGCTGCAGTGGTTGGGCCTGGGCCAGGCTGAAGCCAGGCACCTGGAACTCCATCCAGGTCTCCCACGTAGGTGGTAGGGGCCCAGACACTTAGGCTATCTTCCACTGCTTTCCCAGGTTGCATTAGCAGGGAGCTGGATGAAAGTGGAGTAGTCAGGACTCCAATAGGCACACATGTGGGATGCTAGCGTCGCAGGCGGCAGCTTAACATGTTACAGCACAACGCCTGCTCCTGTCATTTTGCCTTTTAAATAAACTTTTTTTTTTAAGAAATGTTTTTTTTTTTTTTTTTTTCACTTCTACACTCTGCTCTACTCATCCACCTAACAAATACATAAACTTTTCAGAAAGCAGTTCAAGTTAAGACCCAGCTGCCTGAGACACCTCCATCTTGCACCAGAGCACTGATTCAAGCCATGGCTTCTGTCTGATCCAGCTCCCCGTTAATGCACCTGGGAAAGCAGCAGACAATGACCTAAGAGCTTGGGCCCCTGAAACCCAGGTGAGAGACCTGGATGAAGTTCCTGGCTCCTGGCTTTAGCCAGGCCCAGCCCCAGCCCCAGCAATTGTAGCCTTTTTGAGGAGTGAACTAATGGATGGGATATCTCTCTCTCTTTCTGTTTCTCCCTCTCTCTACTGCCCTACCTTTCAAATAAACAAATCTTAACAGCAACTGGAAGTTCAAGTAAATCTATATGAACTTCAGGAAAAAATACTCTGAATGTAAGTAAGTGAAGAAGGTCACTTGTAAAATCAGTTTGATCGGCTTTAGGAAAGATAATCCTAAATGTCTGTATGAATGAAAAGGGGCAGGAATGCAAGATGTGAAGAGCAAGGCTCACTTTCTACTCTGACACACTCTAGGCATGCAATTACATCATTTGCCTTGACTGATGCCTCTCCCTTTCCAGTTTTCATGCACACTGCACACCTTGGATTGGCTAGACCTGCTTGGAACAATGTTACATAATAATGGTAACACGGATACTCCTAAATTTAAATGAGAATTGCTTCTAGTCAATGTCAGGAATAAAAGACATTCCTTGATATGTTAAGGAAATTATCAAGTAAATCATAATTCCTACCTTAGTAAGAATTGTTTCTTTCCTCAGAATTAATGGTTACTTTTACTAAATTCTTTTACAGTTCCTATGAAGATAATCACTTTTCCTCTGCATTTTAAAATAGTGTTTAGTATTTCCTGATACTGAACTCTTACATTCTTCACATGCAAGGAAAGAAACTTGATCATCATGGATCATCCTCTTAATATGTTGCTGAATCACACCTAGCAATATTTATGATTTTTTTAATTTTAAGAATGGTAGGGCCGGCGCCGCGGCTCACTAGGCTAATCCTCCGCCTTGTGGCGCCGGCACACCGGGTTCTAGTCCCGGTCGGGGCACCGGATTCTGTCCCGGTTGCCCCTCTTCCAGGCCAGCTCTCTGCTGTGGCCAGGGAATGCAGCAGAGGATGGCCCAAGTGCTTGGGCCCTGCACCCCATGGGAGACCAGGAGAAGCCCCTGGCTCCTGGTTTCGGATCAGCGCGGTGCGCTGGCCGCAGCGCGCCGGCGGCCATTGGAGGGTGAACCAACGGCAAAAAGGAAGGCCTTTCTCTCTCTCTCTCTGTCCACTCTGCCTGTCAAAAAAAAAAAAAAAAAAAAAAAAAAAAAGAATGGTAGACTTTTTTTTGCATGCTGTCAGATTTGGTATTAATATGTTTCAAAAATAATTTAGAAAACGCCAACTTTCTATACTTCTGAACAATGTATAAAGGTTGCCCAGGTCTAAGGTTCTTCTTTTGTGCTCAGGTTTTCAGATTAATATACATACCACTTAGCAGAGACATCTTATATTCAATTTTCCATCCTATAATTTGTTTTTATTTTTATTATTTTTGAAAGGCAGAAACACAGAGACAAAGAGGTCTCCCTCTGACAGGCTCAGTGCCCAAATGCTGACAACAGCCAGGGCTGGGCCAAGTGGCAGTCAGGAGCCCAGGACACAATCCAGGTTTGCCAGATGGGTAGCAGGACCCAACTGAGTCCCCCTAAAATCAGCTGCATCCCAGGGTGCACATTGGCAGTAATCTGGATGGGAAACAGAGCAGCTAGGACTCAAACCAGCCACTGTTAGGGGATGTGGTCATCCCAAGCAGCAACTTAACCACTTTGCCGAACACCCACCCCTAAATTTGAATTTTTTTAAGTTCTCCTTTGATTTGAGAGCCATTCAGGTGCAGACACTGAGGTGCAGCAGTGCATTAACCCAAGACTTTGGACATTGCTTCCCATATCAGAGTGAAATATAATTTCTGGGGCTGGTGTTGTGGCAAGCGGGTAAAGCCACTGCTTGCAGGCTGGCATCCCGTATGTGCACCGTTTCAAGACCTAGCTGCTCCACTTCTGATCAAGCTCTTTGCTGTGTCCTGGGGAAGCAGTGAGGTTGGCCCAAGTGCTTGGGACCCTGCACCCACATTAGAGACCTAGAAGAAGCTCCTGACTCCTGGCTTCAGATCGGTGCAGCTATGGCCATTATGGCCATCTGGGTAGCGAACCTGTGGATGGAAGATCTGTGGTTTTTGTTTTTTTTTTTTTTTTTTGCTTTTCAAGATAATTCTTATTAGATTAAGATGGCAGAATAGAGAGGGAGCTTGCTGCTCTAGTGTAGGAAAAGATAGTTTAAAAAAACTGGAAAGAATGCAGTCTCAGGGAAGAGTTAAGGAGAAAATGGCAGAGGAAACTCCATAAAAGCTGGAGGGACACAGTGGACCCACGTGGAGGGAATGGCCATGCACAGCTCAGGATCCCAGCAGCCAAGAGCCTCCGTGCCAGTGTTGAGAGTAAGGTGAGACCAGACTGCAGCAGCCCAAGCCACTGGTGAAAAAGCTGCAGGAAGAACCTAGAGAGAATCTGGCCTGGAATCGCATGGTGGATAGTGTACCTGCCAAACTAGAGAAGAAAAAACAAAGAGAGGGCATGTTTCTCGCTCCCTGATCACCCTGCAACAACTATACTAACAAGTTGATACAGAGTGGGCACCATTTTGGACATATGTAACATATGGACATATGGGCAAGCCCCGGTCCTGCACCAGCAACCAGCCAAGCAGAAACTCCCAAGTCTGGTGGGGAAAACAGACAGGCAACTGGGTGCTCATGACTATGGGAAGCTTGTGTGCCAGGGCTGTGAAAACACTGAGGCTGCGTGGGAGGGCTGTGAAAACACTGAGGCTGCGTGGGAAGACTCTGGGTGTGGCTGGGACTTTGGGCAGTCACTGTCAGAGGCTCCACACACTCAGGGCTCCCTGGTTACCTGCTGGGGAATCTGAGCTTACACTGAGGACTGGACAGATCTTTTGTGTGGTCCTAGTGGCAGAAGAGATGAATACTATACCCACTGGGGTACTGGTCTCCTTGGAGGAGAGGAGTTCAGATGAATCTACACCAA